TAAAGTGAGGTGGTTCAAAGAGCTATCTACATCAGGTAATATATTGATTGTTCATAACCTATCCACAGAACCCCATTTCAGAGGCTCTAAACCATGCCATTGTTGGACAGGGAGTGCTATTACTCCTTATTCTCCAAGTTAGTTGCTATAGCAGCACAGCTTTTAATGAATGTCTCCAGCAAAAATGTTAACATAGAAGTGGGGATTTAAAAATATATATATATATATTTTAGCCTAAAACCTGGATTACTGTACAGTAATGAATGGTTTAAGATGGAGCAAGCAGTGTTAGGTAGGTTAGTTGGGCGCAAAACTTACATGGGTGTCCTCTTTCTGCAAGGATAGGGAGGGGAAAGTGACTGTTAATATGTGAAAGCACGACACACGCATTGACTGTGGCACATCTGTAACACAGCCAAGCATCCACACACGACTATTGTCGACTAACAAGTGAAACAGGTTTGAACACAGTGAGTGTTATTATCATGCACAATTAAGCACAGTCTCATCCGAACATATGCTCACTGAACACTTATTGGGCAGAATCAGTGTGATTGATAAGGCATGGTAATTTGAACACAACCATGTGGAGATGAAGCACATCAGCGCCTGTCATCTCATCAGCAAGCTAAGGGGTGCAGCAGAATGCGGTGCTAAACCCGTCGTCAGTAAAAGTGGATACAAGAAAAGAAAGACAAAAGGGAAAGAGCAACTTGGAGAGCAGTGGGATCAGATGACTCACCTGTTTGACACGCCAAGTCCACATCCTTCTCAAAATCCGTCTAAGAATAAGCAAGGCATAGTAGAATGAGAGGAGAGAAACTATGAGTGAGTGGATTAGCAGGAGTTGAAACCTGACTGACTGGATATAAAACGCTCTAATGTTATGACATAATTTACTTTAGAAAGGAAAAAGTCTGTTATGTCAATGCCTTACAACTCAATACATTACAGTGGAGATGGGTTGCCTTAAGATGTTACGTTTTCTTCAGGACAAGCTTGCTTAAAGCCTTTTAACGATTAGAAAATTGATTAAAACAATGAATTTAGAGCTTTCATAATGAAATAAGACTTCCAAGCTCATACTTTGCACCATAGCAGCAGATCCACATATGGACAAGAGAGATGAGCAGGTCTGTGACATTCCCTTAAGATATGGGATCTCCTCATCAGCCATTGTTAAGATGACAACAGAAGTTTGCAGAGAATCAAAATTATTATTTGCTATGTTGGTTGAGGAAAGCTTCATCATATCCCAGCTTGACTAAAACATTTGATTTGAATACAAATGCTTTATGTGTTTTACTCACACTGCAACGCATGATTCAAAGACGCAATACATGCTGTTTAAAATCCACATTGATGAGGTATAAATAGGCATAGCTACTTGTTGGGGGGGTGTCAAAATGCAAAAAGTTTAGGAATCATTCACTCAAGGCTGTGTGAACAGGTGCTGTTTCTAAAATGGCAACCACTCACATTTATTTGTTTTAAACTTTAGAGAAAGTGACGCTCATTGCTATTCGGTTATGGACGTCCCTTCTCTCACTGCAGAGCTTGTACTCCCTGGAATTCACTCACAAACGCCTTTGTTTGGATAATAAACTACATACTTTACACAGTTTGGGAAAGGAGCAAAGGCAAAAGATAAGAAGAAACGGATAATTGAAAAAAAAACTGAGAGAATGAAGAAAATAAATTTATGTATGAAGATTCTCACAGGAACAGAAAAGCTCTTTGTTTGCTAATCGCCAATAATTCCATGAATTCATGAATCTTTACTTAACAGGTGAAGGCAGAAAGGAAATAACTTTCTATTTTATTCAAAAAAAAGCACACAAACATTGAGTCATTAACTATGTCCTACACATAAAGGAAATACTACGTATAAGACTGCATAGTTGGCCAACAGTAAGCTCAAAGTGCAGCATGCAACATTCCAGATAGAGGCTGAATTAAAACATTTAGGTTCACCTAGAAACAAAACACGAACTAAATCACAGCTATTAAAGGTGCAATCTGTACCATATGGACAGCAGATTAAAATCATTGTATTGGTCAAATGAAGTTTGAAACTTAAGGTGTTTTTTCACCTGACACTTTACTCAAAACATCAATATATCAAACACCAGCAACTGGTTAGCTTAGTTTAGCTACAGTACTGTAAGATGGTAACTCAGCATATGTTAGGCCAAGTTTATCAACATTTTGTAAGACTTTAACATTTAAAGTATTTGGCAAAACAAAATCTAAAAATGTATTTTTTTTTTCCAATATAGAATGGGAAATTTACAAACCTTATTAAATTTCCTATCTCATGCAGTGCATTTGATATTGTTTACATATTAGTACTGCAATATTGCGAATTAGAGTCTAGTATTAATTTTCTGACAAGATACATAATATTTTGAAAACTCATTCAAAAATATAATTTAGTTATTTGTTTTGGATATCCATTTAAATGACAATGTGTCATCAGTTTGATATTCAAATGTACATTAACACATTTTAACCAACATGGGGAGTATGTGTTTTGTTATTGTTATTTTGTTATTTGTTTTAGTTATTTGTATGTTATTTGTAATATTATCTTATATTTGAGCACTTGATTTCAAAAGCATACTCTGCAGCAAAACATCTCTAACGTAAATTAGCACAATATGTGGCCCCAGTAAAGATATATAAACTGTGATTAAAACAAAAAATCAAATTGAATTTTTTAAATTTTATTTTACAGTTTTGATTAGAATGTGTTAAAACACAAACTATTGCTCACTTAACACCCGGGGAAACAAAGGCTAAATTGTCCATCTTACAAAAAACAACAACTTTTTTTTAAGGTTCATTGAAATTTCCTGCAGAACATTATTGTACAGATTGCACCATCTAAAGCATGTATCCACCTTATTCCTGGGGGCTCTACTGTATTAATGATTATGGGTACAGCTTCCTGTCAGACAGAGAAGTAGCAGTATCCATTGGTTAACTATGCTAGCGGAGCACGGACCATGATTTATTTCAAAGTTATTTGCATTCAGTTTAGCAGATAAAACACTGTTTATGTTGTATTTACATTTATTTAACAACCATAAAGTTTATTAAAATAGCCTTGCAGAGTTCAGGCACATGTTGTGTTTGCAGCTGCACTAACAACCAGACCAAACCAACAGTGTTTTGAACAATCGCCCAAAATAATATAAGTGTTCCTGTGAAAAGAGGTACAGTTTCCATCACCTACCTACAGATGAGGAATTAAAAAGAATGTGGCTGAAAATTGTGAACTAAAAGAGACCACCCAAAGCACTGTATGTGAGCTCATTTCACTTTGTTGACAAATGGCGGACGGAGGAAAACCTGCATCTTACTTTGTGGTTGGACGACAATAAACCACTGGAGAGGAGATGCCAGATCCTCAGAAGGATTGAAAATAGTGTGACAAAAAATATCAGGGATGATTTCAAGTGTATGGAGGGCACAGCATTATAGTATTTGTTTGTCTTTGGTATTTCGATTTTCTCTGCGGTTAACCCAAGCTCAGTGATGGAGGACTTTAAGGCTTTGGCTGCACTCTATGTCTGCTTTAACATAAATAAGACTGTGTCCCACCTTTTTTTTTTTTTTTAACAAAACACAACTGACCTTATTACTGTGTAGATACTAATACACCTCAGAGCTTTTCAGATTGTTCATCGCTTTGCCGACGGAAGCAACCAAGTCAGTGAAATAGCTAAATATGCTAGTAGACGTAATTTGCAGTTACTTTTTCAGGTCGTCCTTCCATCCCTCATACGCAGCAGGCAGCAGTGTGATTACATTGTCCTGTTCGAGCTCGTACAGGTGGTGTCCCTACATTTAAATTTTATCCACAATGCCTGAAGAAACTGCATTAGCTCGTACTGTTCACACATAAACAAATGCCAGTTCTGGTCCGTGCTGAAAGTTAATTCACACAAGGCAGCATGGGGGATAGGGAATAAGGTGGATAGATCTAACTATTCCTAATTGCTAATATCTTTGCTTTTTTCCCTACAGTTGACATACTGATCGGCTGCTGACTTGGTTCTGAGCGTGATTGTGGGTATTGTTCAGTATGGGGGTATGCTCATGTGCTTCGCTGGAGTTTAGCACGTAGTTGCAGTTGCTGTGAGGTAGACTGTGGCAACTGGCTTGCTGACATGTCTGTTGGCACGCTGGTGGCGATGGCAGTGGGTGACAACCCGACAGGCACAGGGGTGTGCTGTGACGAGAGCCATGCTGATGTCCACAGATGCCCATACCCGCACACTTCTGATGATGGAAAAATATACACATTCTAAAAGACACAATGTAAGAGATATCCGCCCTGTTTAGCAGCATGTTAATCAGAGATCAGTTAACCAAATGATTTTTAAATGCTGGCTTTTGTTCAGTTTTAACAAGGAGCTTCGGCAACAGTTTTACATCTTTATGAGCTCTTTAAATGTCAAGGGTTTAACTCGCTAATAAGATTTTCTTTGTGTATAGCAGGGGCAGCTAAGTGAATTTTGTTCACTGTAATTTTGTTGCTAATGTAACTGATGGTGGCTTCATTAAATTATCACATGCAATGTCATCAAGGGTATTGTGTTTCACACAATAGCTACTCTATGTGTGTGTGGGAAGCCTGAAAAAGGCATATTTAAAGCTGTAGCTACACTTATTTATTTATTTATTTTAAAGTGTTAATAAAAGTTCTTCCCATAAACTGCAGTGAATGAATACTTCAATGTTAAATATGGTTAAGCTAGAAAAAAAAAGTAAAAAAAAAAAATAATAATTTGTAAAAATGGCTCCACTAAACAAAATGATGGCTTCAAACCTTAATCTTCATAATCTCGGAAAAGCTTTTAGAAACACATTACCATGGACAGGTCTGATGGACAAGAATAAACCCAAAAAAACACAAATAATAGTGGTTGCTTGTGGTTGTGGTCTGACCATACTGACATTGGTGAGAAATTAAATCTCAGTGATTTAACACATTATTAAGGACATTTTAAACACACACACACACCTACCCACAGACAGACACACACAACAATAACAACTGTAAGGTAGAGCAACACACTTTTGATAAAGACAACAGAGTTATCTACAGAGTGGATATACATGAACATGATTAAATAGATGATTATTTTAGTGTCTTTACTAAGAAAAAAAAATGTTAAAAAGCATTGAGATTTAGGTTGCAACAATGGTCAAATGGTAAGCATTTTTATAGGCATAACTTATTACTCAAATATAGATTACGCAAAGTGTCAGGTTGGAATGTGAAGAATTTAGAGTGGATTCTTAAACAGGAGGAAAATGGAAACTAATATGTAAAATATAATGAAAGAAAGTGCAAAATACACAAATGAAGATAAACTCACACTGAGGTAAACATGGTTAAGGAGAGGCGGAGGGGGAAGGCATGACTTTAATCCCCTTCATAATAGCAATAATGCATCTTTCCATTGTATTTACAGGAACTGTTAGTCAGAGGCAAATGAGTTGGAATGTGGGATGAGATGGAATGCTATTCACCATGATCTGCACCTGTCCATTCTTGCAGGAGTCAGGGGAGTTTTCGCTGTCATCTTTACATCCCCCCATTCGACAACGAACTGCATCTTGCACCTGGGGGTAAGGGGATGGAGGGGGTAAAAGATGCCAAAGAGAAAGGATCATGACAGAGGAAAAGAGGGAGGGGAAGGAATGATGAGGGAGAGGAGGAGATAATGCAACGGGAATAGGTTAGTGCAGGCACTTTGGCTTGAGCTGGTTTAATGAGTATTGGAACACAGGGAACTTTTTCTACATTTTACATATTTTGAATTGATTTAAGGTAAATGATAAATGAAGCAAATTGGGCAAAGTCAGAAAAAAATCCATATTTTCCAAAAAACGATTAGTTTGCTATTATTTAAACATCCATCCATCCATTATTGTCAGCTTGTTCCGAAGTCAGAATGCAGGGGAAGCAACTTGAGCAGGGAGGCCCAGACATATCTTTCGACAGCCATCTCTTCCAGCTGTTCTGGGAGGACCCCGAGGTGTTCCGAGGCCAACCGAGAGACTATATTTCTCAGTTGACCTGGGTCTTCCCTGGGTACTCCCTGGAGTCTCCTCCTAGTCGGACATACCCAAAGCACCTCCCTATGGGGGCACCCAGGGATCATCCTTACCAGATACCTGAACCACCTCAAATGGCTCCTCTCGATGTGGAGGAGCAGCGGTTCTACTCTGTCTCCCCTGGATAACTGAACTTATCACCATATCTCTAAGGGAGAGTCCAACTACCCTGCGGAGGAAACTCATTTCAACTGGCTGTATCCACAATCTAATTCTTTCGGTCACTACCCAGAGCTCATGAGAGTGTAGGAACGTAGACTGACTGGTAAACAGAGAGCTTTGTCTTACAGCTCAGCTCCATCCTCCCTCTTTAGTTAAACATGCATCTGTACAATGTATCAATGCATTCATATCTTTCCATTTATATAGGAACAGGTTGTGGGAGTAATAGCTGAAGCAAATATTTACAGACCCCACTAAACTCATCTGGAGGGACTCAAATATGCTCTCCGCGAACAGTCCTGGGTCTTCCACAAAGTCTCCTTGCAGTAATACATGTAGATAGACTGCTTGTCACTGTTGGGGTTTCTTGCGGCAAACTGGTTTTGAGAAACTGATTGTGATACAACATATTTTGCAATGACTACAGCAAGAAGCCATGATACCATTTACCCAGGGGTCAGGCCAAAAAAGTAAGACTTCTTTGACAGCTCCTTGTAGCCTGGCTTTTACACATAGTATCTGACTATAAAAAATAAAAAAAAGATGGGGGCACAAAATAAGAGCAGTTGCATTTCAGTAATCTGGTTGCAGGATTGCTTTTTGGCCTGGGGTAAATTTGCATGCTCTCCCTGTGTTTGTGTGGGTTTTCTCCAGGTATTCAGGTTTCCTCACACAGACCAAAAACATGGATGTTAGGTTAATTATTCACTCTAAATTCACCCAAGTTATGGGTGGGAATGGGAATAGTTGTTTTTCTCTATGTGGCCCTGTTGATGAATGTGCAGCCTGTCTAGGGTGTGCCCTACATCTTGCACAATGACTGCTGGAGATATGACAACAGTTTCCATATCAAGGGAAACTTGTAGAAAAAATAAAAAAGTTGGACATATCGATGGGACCATCCTTTTGTGAGCCAACCACACTACTGAAGGCACCATAGTGGACTGATGCATTGTGGATTCAGTGATATTATGCAATCTGGGAAGTGCTGTCGCAGAATGCTAAAACTGGTTTTAGGACAGCACAATCAATTTACTCTACGTGTAGTATCAATATGCACCATATCACTATAAGTGTAGCACAAGCCCATTTAGACTATTACTGCCTTTTATGCCCACACCTAGTTTAGATGATAGTGGGTGAGATGTTTAAAAACAGAAAGTGTTGTGAACATGATAAAAATGAGATGTGAGACTTTTTGTGGATTTGTGCTATAATTGTCAAAGTATTCAAGAATATGATCTCAAATGATTGTCTGTCCAATATTGTGCAGCCCTGGTTAAATAGACATTGGAGTGCTGAAGGAAGTACAGACCACAACTTCAGTGTGGCTCATCTGCGCCGTGTAATATCAATGGCTGTAATTCAGATCAAAAGGACAACACACATTTGTTATCCCCCCAGGACTTTCTAGTGTTGTACTATTTTTTTCATCCTCCCACATACTAGAGTAAAATCACAACAACCTACACCCAAAGCTTAAATCAAACAGATCCCTGAAAATAACCCCAAGCTCATTTCCTACCATCAGGCTCTTTCTTATAGCTGTCCCCACTATATTTTCTGAGGTGCAGCATTGTTTCCCAGCATTGCTCTTGCCAATTCCCAGATTTTCAAGAGTGTGATCAAGAAAAACTTGCATAAGAAGTGACACAAGCGGTTCACTCTCATAAAGCTATCTTATTTTTTAAGCATTTTTTTGTTTGTGCATGTGTAGCACTATTATGAATTTCATGGATTGGCTCCCTGATTATTACTGCATGCCTGAATATATTTGATGTATTGTTTCCTTTTGTCTGTTCCCTCAGTTTATATCTCATTCATGGTGACATTTGTTGCCTGTTCTATGCTAGATGAAAGTAGGTGTATGCATATCACCATTAAATACAACTAAGTCTAGTTTCAAAATAGATATTTTCTATCTACCTCTAACTCCTCTGTCCTACCCATCCCTTTCACTGCTATGCCCTGATTGAGATCTGTCACCTTTTGTCTCCAATCCATGCTTGTATTTTCTTTTCTCCACCTCTTTTACTGTATTCACTGAAACTAAGTGACTCCAATACAATTTACACAAACATTCCTTCAAATCGTGTTTAGATTTCTTTTAGGGCTTTCTATTGAACCTAAAGCCTCTATTTTGATCGTCATCCTTCTTTTTCCTCAGTAGATCTCGACAGATCATATGTGTCTTCATGGTCCTTACTTTTTTTTTAATTTTTTTTTTTTTACATTTCATCCAAACACCAGTGCAACAATACAGCACACTGATTACAGCATGGCCATCACAAGTTACTCTTAAAATGATAACATCATGCTGTCTTCTCCAGCAGTTAAGATTTCTTTAAAAATTATAATACAATTAAGACATAATTCGGTTTTAGAAGAGGCATTTATCATCTCTTTAACAGCATAATTTTACCCAAAAATTACTTATATACAATATACCGTCTCCTTATAAAAATACACATACTGTAATGTATGCTTGAGAAAAGTAAAGGAATGGAAATATTTAAAGTGTAGGAAATATAGTCAGAACAAAAATCAACCCGTGGGATCTCCTATTGTTAATTCCACTGATGGTAAAAGATCTAAGAGCATCTGAACATGGCATAAATCAACTAAAAGAAAATAAAACATTAGAGTGCCCATCCCAGAAGTCTGGAGAATAATATCATACATGTAAGATAATAACATCTTACATGTAAAAAAATGCTGTTGTGGAGCTGTGCATGGTGCTAAACTTGCACCACAATCACTACACTTTTTGGTCCATAACAGTTTGCTTTTTGTACCATCGCAACTTGTAGTGTCTTCAGCCAAGCTTCTTTTCTCAAGCTTTGAGCAGAAATGCCTTTTAATTATCCTTTGTTCCCCTTCTCTTTCCCCATCTCTGATGCAGCACTCTCCTTGTTTTATTTATTTATTTATTATTTTTTTTAATGCAGCTATGAAGGATTTATTCTTCGTCTCTTGCAGGGGATTTTCATACATTTACAATAAATAAGTCCTGGATTTACTGTACTCTGATCCCTACCACCGTTGTGGTACTGATTTATTGTAGCTAAGCAGTCGGAAGGTTTTAAAATTCACTTACAGTGTGCAGTGCATTCAATGACCTAATGCTCTCTTAGAAAGAAGCAAACCTTTGTGTAATGTAGTGCATCAGCAACAAATGACATATATACAGTTATTGAAAAGTGATGGCATTGTAAATTTATTAATTATGTTTTGGCGTGTGTGCATGTATTATGTGTGCTGATGTCTGTCTCAAATACATGAAGACATGTATGTGCATATTAAGATGAAAAAGCAAGGTCCTCAGGGGGCACAGAAAAGCCTGTGGCAAACAGGCACCAGGGGCTATTAGTTAGAGATTTATCGTCTTATTCCATACAGCATCTTGGTAAGCTCCTTAAACCCAACTTGGATCAGTCGGACAATAGCGCACTATCATGCTGCATTATGAGAAGGAAGCACCGCAACACAGGACATAAAACCATTCTAATCCCTCCCATGCCTGATCCGCTTGAGTTCAGTCATGGCCTCAGACTGACCTGGAAATTAAGTTGAATAAATCCCACCTAGTGATGGGAACAAGACTAGCAAATGTAACCATGTGACGCAGTGGTAAAATGAATTCAAAACAAGCAGATTCAGTGAATAGTATATTAGTGAAGAAAAGTAAAGTGGACCCACCTCTCGGCGCATGGCACAGTGTACAGTGATGATGACAAAACCTTGAACAGAGTTGAATACGGCGAAGAGAACCTGAAGCACAGGAATGATATATGCCAGTAAGTACTTGGATACCGGATAATTACCGCAATAATATGTATCTAACAATACCACAAGGTAAGAGTTGATATACACCCAGGGCATGTTACAAGTCCATCATGGGGTCACATAGAAAAAGGAACGATGCACAAACATACTCACACCAGACAAATTTATAATTGTCTCATAATATAATAGGTGTGGTTTTGGATTGCTAAGGAAAGCTGATGTACCCCCCCCCCAAAAAAAAAAATAAAATAAATAAATAAACAACTGTGCATGCACAAGGAGAATATGGAAACACCACACTAGCAGGGTCCTGTAAAGTGCCAAATCTAGAGCCTTCATGCTGCTAGGTAACAGTGCCACCATGCAGCTTGACCAAAACATTTAGGTTTCTATTAATTCACTGAATTGTATTTGCTTTTAGTGTCTTTTAGATGCAATATGATGATTCAGTAACTGTGTACATGTTTGTATATTTAGTTTTAGTCACCCAATGATGAGGTTAAGATGACAGAGGGTATCTGTTGTTGCTGTATGAATTAATTAATTTGTTTGTTAATGTGTTCCTTCAGTTACAGCACCCTAAAGTTGGGCACCAAGTTATTGTCCCTCTTAACCTCACTATGTCAACCTCATATTATAAAACTGGAAAACTAAAGGCCTCCCACAATGAATAAATGCATAAATAAATAAACAAATAAAATGTTGCCATAT